CTAAATAGCTTGCAGTCATCAAGTACAATATGAATTCTGGATCATATCAAAAGATGTGCTTGATGAATGTGTAAGGTCCAAAAGCTGAATTTGAACTGGAACTGAAAGTGGTTGTAAACCTCAGATATATAATATGAACAAAGCATATCCCTCTAAAGTGTGTACTCAGTCAAAAGCATCAAGTGTGTAATTTCTCTCTGCTGCCTCCTTTCTCTGCTATCTGCATGAATCACTTCTGGCAAGATTTCCAGACACCAAGAGAAACAAATGACAGGGGAGGAAGCTCCATCACACAGCCTGTGATTGAAAGCCTCAGCTCTGTTCCCATGTGCTGTGTAAAAGGAAAGGGGGGGGTCCCTGCCCTCCAATCAGCTCTCAGAACTCCCTTCAATGGGCTTTCCAGAGTGTAACTTCAGCTATCAACCCCCTACTTTCTGAAAGCTCAGACAAGCTTTATGAATTATATACTTTGAACAGATGAAGAGAAGAATTCAGATAAACAGGTAGAACCTATGTAGGGGTATTTGTACAATCTCTGTGTATCACCTGAGACCAGTCACTTCACTGGGTATATGTGAGGGTTTAAACACTTTGATCTTTCAACATGATAATAAGCCAAAGGATACTTGCAAATATACAGAGGAATGGCTCATAAGGAAAATGGAGGGTTTTGGACTTGCCTAGTCTGAACCTCGATTCTAATCCCATTGAACTGTGGTGGGAGGATTTGAAACAGGAAGTTCATGCAAGAAAACACAAAAAACATCTTGCAAGTGAAGCAATCCTGCATGGAGGAGTGGTTGAACATGTCACCAAGATGATGTAAGAGACTGGTGGGCAGAAAACACCTACAAGAAGTTATTTCTGCTAAAGGAGGCAATACCAGCCATATACAGTAGTTATTGATATTTTTGTCTAATAAATGATTGAAATATATTATTTTCCATGTATTTTTCTTCAAGCCAATCACCTTTATCTTTAAGCACTGTTTAAATGAAGATCTAATGTTTTCCTGTTAAAATATGTGGAAAAAGTTAATAAATTAGTGCATAATTTCCATGGGGTGCACTTACTTTTTTTACATCACACACACATAATATTACCACAGCTTAGTGGTACAGTGTTGTCCTTGATAAAGGGTTTGCTATTTTGGGGATCCAAAATAGCTCAAATTAAACCCACTAACCAAAAACTGCAAGTCACTTTCAAATCATATCCCTAAAACACTAATATTTTGGACATTCTTCTAATTGGGCACAAATTGCTATTTTATTTATTATAGGTACTTATATACCGCCTTCAATTTACGCAGCGCTTTACACACACACACATATATATATATATATATATTGTACATTCACATCAGTCCCGAACCCTCAAGGAGTGTACAATCTAAGGTCTCTAACTCACATTCATACATACATATACTATGGCCAATTTAGACAGGATCCAATTCACCTACCAGCATGTCACACACACACACACACACACACACACACACACACACATCTGAGAGCCCAGCTACAGGAAACCAAGAAACCATGTGAATTTCTGTTTAGTACAAAACACCTTTAGTACTTGAACCTCTGCTCTTCCAGCAGATGGCACTCCCCCATGTTGAGGCAGTGGACTGTTTCTCAGCATCCTCACATTAATTGCAGGGCCATGTTCCCTGCAAAGGTCTTGATGACATCAGGGGACCTTAGACTATTGAAATATAGGGGTGAAGAAGCTGCAGGGTGTTGCTTAACCTTTCTACTTTTTTGAAAAAAGGTGAACCTGCACTTTAAAAATTCTACTAGGCTAGCTTTACTCCCCTTCTGTATGTAGAAAGATGAAGGGATGCGAGGAGTAGATCCTTGGTACAGAGAGTAATTAGACAGTTCCAGAAGATGAAAGGGCTATGACCTGCAAGGAGGGGGGAGCTGTGCAAGGGAACTGACTATTCCTGTCGTATTAAAAGTAGTAGTAGTATTTGCTATCAAGTTCAAAAGAAACATAGTAAGTTAATACAAAAACATTCATGGAGGGGCTATTTCATACTGGTGGTAATGCTTACCACCTTCAGAAAAGGGATCTGTAGTGGATCACCTCTTGATAACATAAGCGAAGCGCACCACTAGGTGCAATAAACATTTTGTTTAACATATAATAATTTAAAAACCAATATGCACTCACATGACCCCAGCTGGGGAGTGCACCTTTCACAGCCTGTCACAGATTAATGGCTATACCAGCTTTTCTCAACCAGGGTGCCCAGGCACCCTGAGGTGCCTTCAGGCTTCAAGGGTGCCTTGGCAAAATGCCCAAAAATTGTATACAAGACAGCAGGTGGATCAACAACCTAACCTAACAACCAACGACATCATCAGTTGATAAGGAGGACATCAGGTGCATGCAAATCATCCTTGTTTCCCCCACTCTGTCAGCACTGGGGTCACATTAGCAGAGGGAGGGAGAGAAAATGAGAGAGACACACTGGAATACTAGTCAGTACCAGTGTGCTAAGGTGTATTTGCTTTGGAAGAATAAATCACTCTAAAGTTGGGTGTACTGGATGGGTGTAAAATAGTTTTAGATTGGGGTGCCTTCAGATTGTGCAGAATTTTAACAGTTTCCCCACTGCCCTATAGCAGATATACTGCTACAGGGTGGCAGGGGTGTGCAAAATCATGTATATATACGTGATTTTGAATTTCCGGGCAGTTGGCGCGCCCTACCCGCGCATGCCCTACCCGTGCCGCCATTCGCGGCCACAGCTGTCAATCACCGGGTCCCGTACAGCGATTCCCCGCCAGCGCCCGGTGATTACCGAGGATCTCCGACAAGGAGGAGGGCTGCTTTGTTTACTAACTGTCCTCCTCTCTGTCTGCTCGGGCACACTGCTCTGGATGGCTGTGCACAGTAGAGCAGTGTGCTTACAGTGAAGCACCAACACACCGCCCCCCAGTAAAACACTCCCAGCACACAGTTAACCTTTTGATTGCCCCTCATGTTAACCCCTTCCTGCCCAGTGCCATTAGTACAATGTCCGTGCCTTTTTTAGCACTGATCACTGTATTGGTGTCACTGGGGATGTCATAGCACAAAAAAAAAAAAAAAAAACGCAGGCGATCAAATACCACCAAAAGAAAGCTCACTTCATGGGGGAAAAAAGGACAGAATTTAATTTGGGTGCAGTGTTGCTTGACCGTGTAATTGTTAGTTAAAATAACAGCGCCGTAATGCAAAAAATGGCTTGGTCAGGAAGGGGGTAAATCCTCAGGAGGGCAAGTGGTTAATGGGTGCCTTGTATTTATCCATAGTTTTAAAGGGTGCCTTAACTGAAGAACGGTTAAGAAACACTGGGCTATAGTCCTGGCCAGAGACACAGCCTGGTAAATGCCAGTAGAATCCTTCCTTTGCACTTTAACCAACAACCTTGCACCTTGTCTTCCAATCTCTCTTCCAGGTTCTGAGCAAAGATATTCCAACGTCCCTTTGACAGAGTGAATGATGGATCACTCCCACACCTCACATAGCAAGTTGCCGTCACACGTTTCCGAAGTGTATCCCCACTTTCTCCCCTGAACACTAACATACAGCCACTAATGGCTGTACCCAAAACGTAAAGAGCAAGTTGGACAAGAGCTAATTGGCCGAGTGCCGTCACATGGAACAAGTCACATGGTTCTCTGTACCAGAAGTACCAGGTACTGCTGGCTTGAGTCAAAGAAAACATTTGCTTTTACTTAAATGGGCAAATTACAGGTTTGCTTAAAGTAATTTGTGATGTGTCTTTTAAACTCACATTTGCAATACAAGCTCTTTGATATTTGTGTTATATTGCATTATATACAAAAAATGCCTCTGCTTGGAGACAGTCACATTGAGCTTGCCACAGTTTTCACCAGATACAGTACCTTGAAAAAGTATTCATACCCATTGACATTTTCCACATTTTGTCATGTTACAACCAAAATGTAAATGTATTTTATTGAGATCTTATGTGATAGATTAACACAAAGTGGCACATAATTGTGAAGTGGAAGGAAAATGATAAATGGTTTTCAAAATGTTTTACAAATAAATATCTGAAAAGTGTAGCGTGCATTTGTATTCAGCCCCCTTTACTCTGATACCCCTTACTAAAATCTAGTGGAAGCAATTGCCTTCCAAAATCACCTAATTAGTAAATAGAGCCCACCTATGTGTAATTTTATTCAATATAAATACAGCTGTTCTGTGAAGCCCTCAGAGGTTTGTCAGAGAACATTAGTGAACAAACAGCATCATGAAGGCCAAAGAACACACCAGACAGGTCCGGGATAAAGTTGTGGAGAAGTTTAACCACTTGCTCCCCAAAAGGATTTACCCCCCTTCCTGACCAGGCCATTTTTTATGTTATGGCGCTGCGTTACTTTAACTGACAATTGCGCGGTTATGCAACGCTGCACCCAAATGAAATTTACGGCCTTTTTTTCCCACAAATAGAGCTTTCGTTTGATAGTATTTGATTGCCTGTGCATTTTTGCACTTTAAAAAAAAAAAAAAGACCGACAGGTTTGAGAAAAAAAAAACCTATATTTTTTGACTTTTTGATATTAATCATGTCCAGTAAAAAAAGTAAAAAAAAAAAAAAAAAAATCAAATTTCGCCATAAATTTAGGCCAAAATGTATTCTGCTACATTTCTTTGCTAAAAAAAAAATCCCAATAAGTGTAAATGAATTGGTTTACATGAAAGTTATACCATTTACAAATGGCAGTATATATACTGGGATTTTTTATTTTTATTTTTACTAGTAATGGCGGCGATCAGCGACTCATAGCGGGACAGCAGCGGGCATTCTGACACTGGGGGGAACTGAATTAGTGTCACTGACATCCCCAGTGACACCAATACAGTGATCGGTGCTAATAAAAAGCACTGACACTGCACTATTGACACTGGACTGGAAGGGGTTAACATCTGGGGCAATCAAAGGGTTAACTGTGTGCTGTTTTACTGTGTGCTGTGTGTGTGTGTGTGTGTGCTGAAATGTAAGTACACTGCTTTACATGGCTCTGCTATGCAAAACCATGCGCAGCAGTGTGCAGGAGCTGACAGGGGGGAGAACTGTTGTCAGGAATGGATTCAGCACTGGTGGTGGGACTCTCCTGCCGTGTGGGCTGCAGTACCAGAGCTGACCAGGCGGGTGCTCTCAGCACTGGTGGTGGGACTCTCCTGCCGTGTGGGCTGCAGTACCAGAGCTGACCAGCGGGTGCTCTCAGCACTGGTGGTGGGACTCTCCTGCCGTGTGGGCTGCAGTACCAGAGCTGACCAGCGGGTGCTCTTAGCAGCCAGAAGCTCACAATCAGCCAAACCTGGGGCTGATTACAGAAAGGTGTATATAAGGCATGACCAGGCCTGTGCTCTGGGCCTTGGTGTATGGTTTCCCATGAGCCCCTGTATCCTGTTCCTAGTTCCTGTGAGAAGATACCTTGTTGCCGACCCTGCCTGATTCCTGTTGACCGTCTCCTGTTCTGACTACTGGCTCATCCCTGACCATCCTTCTGCCTGATCCTCTGTACTGCGCTGTCCGTGAGTTACTGAACCCGGCTTGTGACCTTGACCATTCTCTGCCTGCTCCTTTGATACCTTGCTGCCCGCACGTTGCTGACTTGGCCCGTCTGACCACGCTCACTACTCTGCCATCCATCCATCCTGCATGGATCCAGCCGTACCTGCACATACCTCTGGCGGATCCCTCTATCACTAGCAGGTGTACTCAGGGGCCGCGACCTGGTTCCTGTCTGCTCCAAGTCCATCCCCACCATCAGGGGCCCTGGTGAATAGCAGACTGGGACTTAGACTCCGCGCCCTGGGGAATCCTGCCCTGAGGACCGCTAGAGGTACCACCAGGCAGTCGTTACAGAACCCTACGGCCGGCCTGACCATTCCACCTCTCCAGCCCTGACTACGCCTGTGTTCCTGCACCTCCTAAGATTAGCAGAAGGTTAGTTTGCTCACTGTGCGTTTATATATATATCTGGGTGGCTAATAATAACCTGTATTATACTATACCTGAAACCTGCGTTTCCCTGTGTCAGTCCACACCTTTCTGGTCACTCCTTGATTCCTGACATCACACCAAGGCCTTTCCTGACCAGAAGTGGCTGCACAGGGAAGCCATCTTGACTTGTCGTGAAGGATGCATCCTGATGAGGTTATATATTTGTCTATGCTAGTCTTTGATGACAGAGAATATGCCTATAAGACTCTGCGGGAGTATACCCGGGATCAGCTACTAGAGTGCATACGGGTCGCTCATTCCCTAGTAGGTCAGGACCTAGAGCTCTCTGAGGTGCAACCATTGATTCAGGCTTGTATTGAGTTGGCTTCATCTAGTACCCCTGAAAGCAGGGATGAATTTCTTCCTCCATTCAGGGCGAGTCAAATAATATCACGTATGGTTGTTGGAGGATGATCCGGATTGCTTCTTGGAGCATTATTCAGCATATTCACCACAGGTGCTAAAGAAGTGTATAAACGCAGTGCAAACTTTGATCAGACAGGCCTTGTGTAAGCTGAGCGTTGTCCAACCCTTACTGCAGACATGGTCAGACTTGTTACACCCAGCCTCAATCAGCTTGCAACGAACCAGTCCTGTTTCTCATCATTCCTCTGCTCAAAGCTCTTTTCCTGCATTCCCGACAGCACCCCCAGTGACAGCCCCCCCAGTGACAGCCCAGTATACCCAGCAATCTGCCACATGTCGGTACCCTACTCCCACTCACTGTACCATCCTGCCAGTTGACTCGGTGCCAGTTGACTCGGTGCCCGCTGTCGTACCAGTTGACTTGGTGCCAGTTGACTCGGTGCCCGCTGTCGTACCAGTTGACTCGGTGCCAGTTGACTCAGTGCCCGCTGTTGAGCCGGATGACTTGATGCTGATGACTCGGTGCCCGTTGTCGTACCAGTTGACTTGGTGCCAGTTGACTCAGTGCCCGCTGTTGAGCTGGATGACTTGATGCCGGTTGACTCTGTGCCCGCTGTCGTGCCAGTTGACTCTGTGCCCGCTGTCGTGCCAGTTGACTCGGTGCCAGTTGACTCTGTGCCCGCTGTCGTACCAGTTGACTCGGTGCCAGTTGACTCGGTGCCCGCTGTCGAGCCAGATGACTTGATGCCTGATGATTCGGTGCCAGTTGACTTGGTGCCCGCTGTCGTACCAGTTGACTCGGTGCCAGTTGACTCAGTGCCCGCTGTTGAGCCGGATGACTTGATGCTTGATGACTCAGTGCCCGCTGTCATACCAGTTGACTCGGTGCCAGTTGACTCGGTGCCCGCTGTCGTACCAGTTGACTCGGTGCCCGCTGTCGAGCCAGATGACTCTATGCCAGTTGACTGGGTGCCCGCTGTCGTGCCAGTTGACTGGGTGCCCGCTGTCGTGCCAGTTAATTTGGTGCCTGCTGTCGAGCTTGGTGACCCGGTACCCGCAGTTCTGCTAGAAGGCTTGGTGCCTGCTGACGTGCCCAGTGACTCTGTGCCCGCTGTCGTGCCAGATGACTCGGTGCCCGCTGACGTGCCTCTGCCCGCTACACAGCCCGACATGCCAGCCCCTGATGTCCAGTTAAACTGGCCGATAACTGATACCCAGCCTGCTCCTGGAAATCCTGTGCCCAGTGACCTGCCTTCCTTGATTCTCCTACACAAAGAGAAGTCTACCAGCAGGAAACCCAGCCAGCCGGTTTACTCCCGGCAGTAGGATATTCAGCCAGTTACCGGACCCAGGCGGTGGAACATTTTGCCCACTAAGGACTGTTTGGAGCGTCCTGAAGCCGCTCCTTGAGGGGGGGGGTTCTGTCAGGAATGGATTCAGCACTGGTGGTGGGACTCTCCTGCCGTGTGGGCTGCAGTACCAGAGCTGACCAGCGGGTGCCCTCAGCACTGGTGGTGGGACTCTCCTGCCGTGTGGGCTGCAGTACCAGAGCTGACCAGCGGGTGCTCTTAGCAGCCAGAAGCTCACAATCAGCCAAACCTGGGGCTGATTACAGAAAGGTATATAAGGCATGACCAGGCCTGTGCTCTGGGCCTTGGTGTATGTTTTCCCATGAGCCCCTGTACCCTGTTCCTAGTTCCTGTGAGAAGATACCTTGTTGCCGACCCTGCCTGATCCTGATTCCTGTTGACCGTCTCCTGTTCTGACTACTGGCTCATCCCTGACCATCCTTCTGCCTGATCCTCTGTACTGCGCTGTCCGTGAGTTACTGAACCCGGCTTGTGACCTTGACCATTCTCTGCCTGCTCCTTTGATACCTTGCTGCCCGCACGTTGCTGACTTGGCCCGTCTGACCACGCTCACTACTCTGCCATCCATCCATCCTGCACGGATCCAGCCGTACCTGCACATACCTCTGGCGGATCCCTCTATCACTAGCAGGTGTACTCAGGGGCCGCGACCTGGTTCCTGTCTGCTCCAAGTCCATCCCCACCATCAGGGGCCCTGGTGAATAGCAGACTGGGACTTAGACTCCGCGCCCTGGGGAATCCTGCCCTGAGGACCGCTAGAGGTACCACCAGACAGTCGTTACAGAACCCTACGGCCGGCCTGACCATTCCACCTCTCCAGCCCTGACTACGCCTGTGTTCCTGCACCTCCTAAGATTAGTGGAAGGTTAGTTTGCTCACTGTGCGTTTATATATATCTGGGTGGCTAATAATAACCTGTATTATACTATACCTGAAACCTGCGTTTCCCTGTGTCAGTCCACACCTTTCTGGTCACTCCTTGATTCCTGACAACTGTATTATTTACTTACAGTTCTCTCCCTCTGTCGGTAATGCTCCTCGATCACCAGGTGCTGGTGAGTAATCACTAGCCGGGACCCAGTGATTGACAGCCGAGGCTGCGAATAGCGGCATGGGTAGGGCTTGTGCGCGCCCCCTACCCAGAAGTGCGAAATCATGTATAGATACCTGATTTTGCGCACCAAAGCCACCCTGTAGCAGTATTACTGCTATAGGGCGGATGGGATGCAGTTAAAGCAGGATTCGCTTATAAAGAAATATCCCAAGCTTTGAACATCTCACAGAGCACTGTTCAATCCATCATCCGAAAATGGAAAGAGTATGGCACAACTGCAAACCTACCAAGACATGGCTGTCCACTTAAACTGACAGGCCAGACAAGGAGAGCATTAAATCAGAGAAGCAGCCAAGAGGCTTATAGTAACTCTAGAGGAGCTGCAGAGATCCACAGCTCAGGTGGGAGAATCTGTCCACAGGACAACTATTAGTCGTGCACTCCAAAAATCTGGCCTTTATGGAAGAGTGGCAAGCCTTTGTTGAAAGAAAGCCATAAGAAGTCCCAACTGCAGTTTGCAAGAAGCCATGTGGGTGACACAAACATGTGGAAGAAGGCGCTCTGGTCAGATGAGACCAAAATTTAACTTTTTGGCCTAAAAGCAAAACGCTATGTGTGGTGGAAAACTAACACTGGACATCACCCTGAACACACCATCCCCACCGTGAAACATGGTGGTGGCAGCATTATGCTGTGGGGATGCTTTTCTTCAGCAGGGACAGGGAAGCTGGTCAGAGTTGATGTGAAAATGGATGGAGCCAAATACAGCTCAATCTTAGAAGAAAATCTGTTAAGAGTCTGAAAAAGACGTGACTGGGGCAGAGGTTCACCTTACAGCAGGACAACGACCCTATGCATACAGCCAGAACTACAATGGAATGGTTTAGATCAAAGCATATTAATGTGTTAGAATGGCCCAGTCAAAGTCCAGACCTAAATCCAATTGAGAATCTGTGGCAAGACTTGAAAATTGTTGTTCACAGACGCTGTCCATCCAATCTGACAGAGCTTGAGCTATTTTGCAAAGAAGAATGGGCAAAAATGTGGAGCTGGTGGAGACATATCTAAAAAGACAGCTGTAACTGCAGCGAAAGGTGGTTCTACAAAGTATTGACTCGGGAGCTAAATACAAATACACGCCACACTTTTCAGAGATTTGTAAAACATTTTTAAAACCATGTATCATTTTCCTTCCACTTCACAATTATGTGCCACTTTGTGTTGGTCTATCACATAAAATCTCAATAAAATACATTTACGTTTTTTATTGTAACATGACAAAATGTGGAAAATTTCAAGGGGTATGAATACTTTTTCAAGGCACTGTATGTATACAATCTCAATCTGATAACTTTGTTTTCATAAAACGATTGGAGAGCTGCATCTAAACCATAATCATCCATCTATTCTCTTCTTTCTATTCCTACTGGTTTCTACTGCTGCCCCACCCTCTCCCAAGCTGAGTACTGTTGTACAGGGTACTACAAGAGGCAAATGTCAAAACAGTTTCAGGTGTCTGGAGGGACTGCAATTTAAGAAAAAAAAAAAAAAAAAAAAAAAAAATGTTT